CTTTCACCCTGATACTGCTCATCCAAGTCAAACATTTCTTGTAACTTTAAGCAGTTTAGAATGTGTTCTCACCTGAGAGTCTGAGTAATGTTGACAGGAGAAACACATACACATTGATGAGACTGGCTCTCCCAGGTGCTATTTTTTTATTATTCTGCAGAATGATATGTTGGAAGTTATTAAAAAGACAATGGGTTGGGTTTACAAAAGCGTTCTTTTAAAGTTTAAAAGACTGGAAGCTTATGCCTTTTTCAGGGTTGCATGTTTGAGACTTTTCATATTGTCTCAATAAGGATACTATAAACATGTTATATGTGCCTAACAAACATTATGAAATAATGTTATAAACAGATTAGATCACCCCTCAGTGTTTATACTTGTGCCAAATTCCTGAAGTATGATACTGTAACAACAAACCACAGCAGACTAAATGCAATCAATTTTACAAGCATACCTTATGGAATACTTCAGTAAACCACACATGTGTTGAATAGTGTTTGTTTTGCAGATGTTCATTTAGTATCTGTTTGTGCATTCATAGTTACAGGCTTCCCATCTGAACATATCTATCCTAATAAAGTTTTGGCAGCAGCTCCAATTGCACAGTCATACGGGTTGGTACTTGCTCTATGTGCAGTGTCTCTAAGAATAACAAACAATATTAAACAAACCCATAACTTCAGTGCTAATGAGCAAGACCTCCCCACTGTCAGAGGTTTTCTACTGACGTGTAAAATCAGAACTAGACAATTGCACTCTGATTCCCAGATCACATTCTAATAGTGACCAGACACAACATGGAGTACTCAGTCAGTACAGTTTAAAATAAAAATAAATTAAAAAATCATCATTAGGTATATTTGTCACAGTAGTTCAGCAGTGCTTCCCTCAGGTATTTTTTAACCTACAGCAAGCAATAGAAGCAGTTTGGACCATTGAGAGAGACTGCAATCAATTGATTTCTCTGGCACAGACTGCGCTTTTGAGGCAAAAACCCCAGAAACTCATGAGATTGCTGTCAATAACTCTCTGGGGGGAAAGAAATGTCTCTTTAGTAATTAAGTCACAGGCCAGTAGGTCTAGGATGAAGTAATTCAGACTAGTTAACTTTCAGGCTTAGCTGTACTGCTCTAGCCAAGAGTGCATGCCTGCATGCCTGCAGGAAATACAAGGGTTCTCTCAAATCAGCTGCTGCTACATTTCTCTTTACAGTGTATCATATGTTTGTGCTTTTCTCAGTAAGTTTTTTGTATTATGGGGGCTATTTACTCTCCCTCATTAATTTGTGTTTCCCAGTTAGGAATGCTTATTAATTCTCACTCGGTAAACTTTGGCTTGCTTCTGTGGCTCTGCTGGATCGTGTAATCGTGATATTCAAACCAATTTGTCCAAGGACTTAGACAGGGGTTCTGCAGAACAGTAGGCAATTGTGCACCTTTGGAATGCACAAATTTAATAAAATCAGTGTGCAGAGTTGGTCTTACTTTTGTTATTTCACACTTTTTCAATGTTTTACCTCGTAATCTTAATACTGTCTTTACATTTATCTTGTTTTAGAAGGAACATAAACACCTGCAACAAATTCTGAGTAGGTAAATTAGTAGTTGAAAATATGTGTTTCAAGCAACTGTACTATATCCCAGTCACTTGGGTCTAAAATAAGTTGCACTCTCTGGTTTCCATCCTTTTGCCCCATTTTCTGCCAAATACCAAGAATATTTTTTTCTGTCCTTTTTTCTTCCTTCTTTGGCAGAAGGGCACAGTTTAGTAATTGTTTAACTACTAAAGTGTAATAACCAAATTATTTAATGGCATAATCACTAAGCAGCAATTATTTAATTACTAATGTTGGGTTTTTTCTTCACTTCTCTGAGGTTCCAAAGTACTCTGGAAACATCTCAAGGCTAAAGATGTTAGTTAAAAGGTACAGAATATTTTCCAGGCTAAGCACAGGAGTTACATCTTCAGAGCTTAAGTTCACAAGGAGGAGGACACTTCACTTATTCATCTGAAAAAATATCTATATTTGAGAGAGAATTTACACTAAATAAATTGATTATTTCTGAAGGCAGCTATGGCAGATAGCATAACAGTAAGTTGTGAGTAGCATGGGCTGAAAACGTTGAGATACAGATTACATGTGTTTATGTACTTCTCCACTATTTATCGCCAGAATTCACCAGAAATATTTTCATATTTTACTAGAGGAAGAATCATACTTTGGTGGTTTTTTTTTTTAAATTAGGGTAGAATGGACAACAAAACCAAGAAAAAAACCGTCTAAACTTGGGAGCATTCTTAGATGTTGGCCAGGGTGAGACAGCATTATGGACAAAAAGGCATGAGAAAAACTGAATTTCTTAGTCACTTTTTGGTTCAGAGATTTTCATATGCAAATTCTGAGGCGAGTGAAACCACAGCTCTTGGCAGTACTGTGTTACAGGGCTGTTTCCTCCAGCAACTGTGGCTTCAACGCCCAGGTAAGGCCGTGTCCAGCTGTTCTGCAATGTCCCACTGAAAATAATGGGAATGTTTTACTCAGCAAAGCTTTAGGACAGTTAATCATGTATTTGACTGATATTTAACCCAGAGGGTAAACAAGAAAACAGGTGCACAATGAACCTCCAGTCTGCACAGCGCTCAGTTTAGTAGCTCTTGCTCCGGTGATTCCAGCAGCACGCTGTGTGCTATATTGTCCAGTGTTTGTATTCGATGTTAACTCTGGGTACAGCTGTCCCTGGCTTTGTTTGGCCACACGGCTGGGGGGAGGTGCTGGTGATCCACTGCATGGCGAGGGAAAGGCCTGGCTGCCCAGCCCGGGCTGTGCCCACAGACCCTGCACAGCACCAGCAACTCATGGGGCACCACTGGGGAGAACAGTGCTGGGCCCTGGGGCTGCTGTGGCCCAGGTATGTTGTGCAGGAATCCACTCAGTGCAGGTAGCTCAGGGTGCAGCTGCAGGTTGAGCTCTAAGGGGCAGAAGGCCCAGGCAAGAGGCCATGAACTTCTGACTCTTGGCACAATGAAGGGCCCAGGGACCTGTGGCCTGGCCGAGTGAGGGAATTTGGAGATGCGGCAGGAGCTGTCGACCTCCAGACTTTCACGCACTTGAACTGTGAGGGGATAAAAGCATCCCTCCTCAGAGGCATTAGCTTGAGCTGTTATTTTGTTATTTAGTTATTGCACCATGATTAAATTTTTTTTAAGGATCGGGAGACCGAGACTCTCCTATGGGAAACTTGAGGCCAAGCCAGTAAGGAAACCTGGTCTGGCTGTGAGTGTGGGGGGTGCAGCTGTGAAGGGGCTTTGGTCCCATCTCAGGTGGTGCAAGTGTGACTGCTGGAGTGCCTCCTAGATGGTTGAGCAGGGAAGTTTCATACAATCATAGAACAGTTTGGGTTGGAAGGGGACCTTGAAGTTCCAGCCCTGCTGCTGTGGTCAGGGACACCTTCAACTAGACCAGGTTGCTCAGAGGCCCATCCAGCCTGGCCTTGAACACCTTCGTGGATGGAGCATACTAAACTTTCCTGGGCAACTTGTTCCAGTGCCTCACCACTCTCACAGTAAAGATTTTTTTCCTAATATCTAGGCTAAACCTACTCTTTCAATTTGAACCCATTCCCCCTTGTCCTGTATCTACATGTTCTTGTAAATAGTCTTGCCCCATCTTTCCTGTGAATTCCCTTCCAGTACTGGAAGGCCACAATTATTTCTAGGCTGAACAAATTCAATTCTCTTACCCTTTTCTCACAGGAGAGGTGCTCCATCCCTCTGATCACCTTGGTGGCCTCCTCTGGACTCCCTCCAATAGAGGTCAGTGTCCTTTCTGTGCTGAGGACCCCAGAGCTGGACGCAGCACTACAGGTGGGGTCTCACCAGAGTGGAGTAGAGGGGCACAATCACCTCTCTTGACCTGCTGGCCACACTGCTTTTGATGCAGCCCAGGACACGGTTTGCTCTCTGGGCTGCAAGCGCACGTTGCCAAGTCATGTTCAGCCTCTCTTCCACCAGCACTCCAGTCCTTCTGGGTAGGGCTGCTCTGCTTTCCATCTGTTCATCCCCCAGCCTGTATAGACACTGTTTCATAGCCTCCTTAACAGTATGGCACTGACTCTGTGTGCCCCCACCAAGGCGGCAGGTGGGCAGTGCGGGGTGAGCTGGGCCTGCTGCGGGGCTGGGTGTGAGGCCAGCACTCGGCAGCGGCGCTGGACTGGAGTGTGAGGCCTGGTACGTGGCAGTGATGTTGTACCAGGGTATGAGGCCCAGCACACGGCCACGTGGTACCAGTGTGTGAGGCCATTCACGTGGTGGTGGTGGTGGTAGTGGTGGTGGTGCTTTCCTGGGGTGTGAGGCCGGCACATGGCAGCAGTGCGGTACTGCGGTGTGAGGCCTGCGGTGTTCCGGCGGTCCTGTACCGAGGTGTGCTGCTGGCACGTGGTGGTGCAGTCCCTGGGTGGTACTGGGATGTGAGGCTGGCAGATGGCAATGCTGTACCAGGGTGTGAGGCTGACACATGGCACTGTAGTCGCAGGGTGTGAGGCCAGCACAAGGTGGTGACGTGCTATCAGGCTGTGAGGCCAGCCCATAGTGGTGGTGCTGCAGTAGAGTGTGAGGCCCGGCACAGAGCAGCGGTGCAGTATCAGGCTGTGAGGCAGCACATGGCGGCGATGCAGTACTGGGGTGTGAGGCCCAGCACACGGCAATGATGTATGGGGTGTGAGGCTGGCACATGGCAGCGTTACACCGGGGTATGAGGCCGGCACACAGCAGTCTTACGCCGCGGTGCTAGGCCGGCATATGGCGGTGCTGTGCAGGGTGTGAGGCCCGGCACATGGCGCCGGCCCCGCCCCCCCGCGGCCCCGCCCCGATCTCGGGCGCCGCGGTGTGTCCGACCCGCAGTTCCCGTCAGGCAGCGCGCGGGGCCGCGGCCGCCCCCGCCTCCCGCCCGCGCTCCCCCGGCGGCGGCGGCGCTGAGGTGGCGCCGCGCCCCGGTGAGGTGAGCGAGGCGCCTCCGCCGGCGCTGCCCCATCCCCCGCCGGCCCGGGCGGACGGGAGCGGCGGCCCCGCCGCGGCCCTTCCGATCGCAGCACGGTAAGGCCAGCCCGCCCCGTGCTCCCGGCCCGCCCCGCCGCGCTCCCCGGGCGGCGGGCGCGGCGCTCAGCGGCGGCGGGCGCGGGGGAATTGTCGCCGGCGAGACCGGCGCCATCTTAGGTCGGAGCGCGGCCTGGCGGCCCGGAGCGGGGACCCCGCGCCTTGAGGGCTCCCCCGGGCCGCCCGCGGGCCCCGCTGGCACCGGGGGGCTCTGCCCGCGGGGGCGGCCTGGGTAGGGCTCGCTCCGCCCGGCCCCGGCCGTGCAGGGCCCGCCGCGGCCCCGGGCACTGGCGGCGAGCATGAGGCTGCCGGCCCGGCCTCCTTCCCGCCCGCCGCGGCTCTGGCGTGCGGCCTCTCCCGAACCCGCAGCCCGAGGGCCCCGCGGTCACCCGGCGCGGGGGGCGGGACGCGGGGCGGGCGGGCGGGAGCGGCAGCTGCTCCAGCGCCCTCGGGACTCGGCTTCTCCCCCGGCCTGGCACCGCCGCGGCTTGGCGGTGTGAGCTGCTGGCGGGCTGGCACAGGCCGTATTGCCCTTCCCTAGGCGGAGCTTGTGCCTTCTCCTGGCAGGGAGGGCAGCGCTGGCTGTTGAGGTTTGGGTTTGAGGGAAGTTGTTTTACGCCGTGGCTTTTTACAACGTGCAGGTGCAGTTTCATCTTAGTCATTGTTCCTTCGCTGCTGAAACAAATGCAGCGCTCAGTAATAGCCCAGTTGTTTGCAGACCCGGCGGTGCTGTGGACTGCACACCCTTCGGTAACTAATGTGGTGCAAAGTCATGTGGCTTTGTGAGAAGTTGAGAAATATAACGTGGTGCCTACTGTGTGATCTACGTTGTAAATAAGACAACTTTCCTGGGCATTTGAAGTGTGGTTATTAAAGAGGAGGAAAACATTATTTGAGTAACTCATAGATAATGGCCATGTGAGGAATGGCTGAGGTCACCTGCTCTGTCCAACCTGACAAGGAAACTGAGGGGAGACCTCATCGAAGTCTAGAATATCTTCTTGAGAGAAAGAGGAGGGGCAGACACTGATCTTTTCTTTCTGGTGACCAGTGATAGGACCCAATGAATGGCCTGAAGTTGTGTCAGGGGAGGTTTAGGTTGGATATTAGAAAAAGGTGCTTCACCAAAAGAGTGCTTGGGCACTGAAAGAGGCTTCCCAGGGAAGTGGTCACAGCACCAAGTCTGCCAGAGTTCCAGAATAGTTTGGACAATGCTCTGAGGTACCTTTGGGCTGTCCTGTGCAGGGCTAAGAGTTGAACTTGATGATCCATGTGGGTCCCTTCCAACTCAGAACATTCTATGATTTTATAATACTGTTCTGGAAAGATGACCAGGCTAGTTTGAAATTTCCAGGTTAATGTAAATGTCCTCACTCTTTAAGCTCACTACCTGTCAGTGATATGATTTTGGTTGTTTTAAGCTAATCCAAACAAATATTGACTATTGGAAGGCTCAGTTAAGCTTAACAGTGGAACAGATGAATTGCATCTGAAGTAATACATGGGGCATTTGCCCCATGATTTTCTGTAGTACTGATTTCTGTCCATCTTCAAGGCACTCTTCTACAGTTGATGAAAGGTAATTGCCTTGATAAGGATGTCCTAATTAGTGCTTTTAATACAGTTGTTTCATCAGAAGTTTATTGCTGTTTTGTGTAATGATTTCAGATTTTCTCTCTGTCTTGTATCAAGTTGTTAGTTCATCACTTTTGTAAGAACTAAATAGTGTACCAGGGACTTGTGTTTTTGCAGGTTGTTGGTTATCCGTGCCTGCCTAATGAACTTCCATGGCTACCCTTAGTTTTTGATGGAAAGTTGCCTTTTAAAACAGTATCTTGGTGTAGTCTAGTGACGTTTTCTAAATGTTTTAAAGAACTTGTTCACAATTTTGACACTTTAGCCTACAGTAATGATTTAAACACTTTCTTTGAGTATATACATATAGCATTTCATTGGAGTTTTGGACCTCTCAGATCCGTGGACTACCCTTAAGGAAATGTGTGTACAAACACGTGTACATGTTTATGCATATTAAAAAATGAGGAAGATGAAGTCTATTGTCAGTAGGTTTATTTTTCTTATACTGGTGCCTGCACCTCCTCTGGGAAGTATTGGAGGAGAGTGGGGGAAGGATTCACTGTTGGTTTTGTCTTGGAGAGCGACTGCCAGCAGGACTCCTAGAATGCATTTTCTACATTAAATAAGCTAAAAATTTGGAAGCTACTTGTGCTCTAAAAATGGATGTAGATATTTGCTTTGGCAGTGGAGACCATTTGCAGGAGCTGTTCCTGCACACCTCCCCAATCAAATCCATTTCCCCTTACTGCAGTTTTAATTGTTCAGGCCACAGGTTTTTTGACCTCTCAGTTGTTAGATAGAACTGTTAGTGGGCCAGGTTATTTTTAACCTGCCCTAGTTCATGTCAGAGTCTCGTGCAAAGTTGTGCTAGCACAACTGAGGAAGCAGTGAAGGAGCAGGGTGGGAACTCATTAGGCTGGCCTTCTTCCCAGGAAAAAAAAGTCAGTGAAAGCTTGGCTTCAAATTATAACATTAAAATTTAAAAAAAAAATAGGTTAGAAGATGCAAAATTAATCTTGATATTTGTCTTTTAAAAGCTGCCCTGCATTTTGATTCACCTTTGAGAATACCTTAATGTGTACCTCCTGATTCATAAAATGAGATGTGAAGTGTCACCAGTTGCTGTCACTTTCTAAAAGTCCATGCCTATTTTATCAAATTACTCTTAACTATATTTAAGAAAAAATTCAGCTGCATTATAGTGTAGATGAGGTTATCACATGTCTCCTGCTAGAATTCTGCTAACATACAGATTGTTTGTGCCTATTTTGTGTTTTAATATAAAGCATTGTCTGAGCGCATGTTATAATTTATTACTTTTTTTCCCTGGAGGTCAAATAAAACTACATTTTAAAAATAAAAACACAGCTCATTTATGTTGTCAGTTCCATAAAAGAAGTCCCTGAAATAGTCCTTCCTTTTGTGTTGAAGTCTATTAAACTTCGTGTTATTAACAAAAGAGCTGTTCTAAAGAGTGTCTACAGAGAAGAAAAAATTAAAGAGTTAGGCTTGATTCTCTTTGCCAGACCTGGCACATGGCCTCTGTTGTCTCTTTTAAGTGGAAATTCGCTTCATAATCTTCCTCTTTTCCCAGTACAAGAGTCTGCTTTAGTGTCCTGTTCTCTTCTTTCCCAGCACCATGGCTAACTCCAAAAAGCTGATGGAGGAAGGAAAGGAGCACAGCTTTGCTGCTTTATTTTATTGCAAGCCTTAACGTGTCCCAACACCAGCAGCCCCATTCTCATACAGAGGATGATTCTGCTCCCTTGTGATGAGCTATTACAGACTAATTATTTCCACAGTCCATCACCAAATCTACCAGCTCATTACTCCTGTCCTGAATTGTCTTCTCTCAGATATTAGACAGTTTTCTCGCTGTGTCTGTGCTGAAGACTTACATTTTCAAACTGTTGATGGATAATGAGGGGTGTTCTTACTTTTGCAAAAGTATACTTTCAAGCAAGAAACTTGTCCAAATGTTTAGTATATATGTCGCTCTTGAAATATTTTTAGAAAGGAGAAAATAAGGGGAACTTGTACAGAAAAATGTGTTCAATAAACACCCTCTTCATCTTGCAAGGTAAATATTTTAAGAAATATCAGCTTATGATATGAATGTAATCTTGATTTTGTCACCTTATGTGAAATATTTGATAGTCTTTGCTGACATAATTGTGTACATTACTGCTGGTCTGATGCCCTGGCTGTTGGGTTCAGGGAGTTAAAGGGTCAGAGAACTATCATTGCATAATAGTAGGAAGTGAAGCTTTGTCAGGTAAATATTGCATCACCACAGGAGTGGGGGAAGTATTGTTAATGGTTTTGTTGGGAGTAGCCTGGTAGTAAGACTAGAAATATTCTTGTACTGATTATGGGCTTGTTAAAGGAACTGTTGCTTGGATATTCTTCACTTTTTGTCAGAGCAGTCTGATGATGAATTTAATGTGCTTTACTGCTCATTGATTAGAAGGAATTCTTGACAGAGTCGCTCTTGGGTTCCTCATGCAAAACTGTATTGTTTCCCTCTGATTTACAAAAGAATGAAGACATTGAATTTTGTGAAGCTCCATGTCTTAGGCGAAGCAAACACTGTTGTTATTGGATCCTGCTCCTGGTTGTTGCTGAGACAGCCCTGTGGTTGTATGAAATTAGAAATGATCTTATTAGAAATTAAATTATTGATACAGTGTATAAAGAAACAGCACAGTTTCTTATTTATTGTGTTGTTCAGAAATACTTTCAAGATTGTGTTAAAAGAATGTGAAAAGAAAGATGAAAACTTTATTGGCCATCACAGTTTATTTAAAAACCAAATAAACTCAGTTGCGATAAGAGATGTGAAGATAATTTGTTAAATTCCAAAAGCTACTTATTTTTCATTACTATTTTTGTACATGGCTTTTCTTAGTGCAAGAGGAAGTCTAATGACATCCATGCAATATTTTTATCAGGTTCTAATTGACAATGAGAACGCTGCAGTGTGTTCTGGGTATGGCTTGGGGGTTTTGCTGTTGTGGAGCTTTTTGTTTGTGGCTTGTTTTTGTTAATATTTTGTGGGCTTGGGGGAATTTTGTGTAAATTTTCTTTAATACAAAGATGAGAATTCAAGAAATTATCAAAACGGCGTCAACCTTTGAAGATCTCCTGTATCAGATCAGATTGAACCTGTACAGAACACGGAGAGGGAGGGAGACCATTGTGTGGGAATTATTGACAAGTGCAGTGTTCTTTACTCAACAGTGAAACACTTCATGAAAGTAGTGAATGTTTTGGTATGTGTGATTTTATTAATTTTTTTCTTTTTTTACTGCCTAGTTCCAAGATGGCAGAATTATTTATGGAATGTGAAGAAGAGGAGCTGGAACCATGGCAAAAGACAGTGACAGAAGTGGAGGAGGATGACGATGACATCGATGATGATGATGATGAGCCAATCTTTGTTGGGGAAATCACAAGGTCGAAGGCAGCTACTACATGTAAGATAACTTTTTCATCATTTAAAGCAGATATTTCAAGGTATTGAAAGTTAAACTTAGTTTGAAAAGATAGAATTTTTAACAGTAAGACTTAAGAAATTCTACGTCTTAAAGCTGTACATCTCTGTCATGCTGAAAATCATAATTCTTAAGAAATTCTATCCTAAAACCCAGGTTATGCCCAGTTCTGTTTACATCTAACCTTAGTTCTCTGGAGTCAAAACAAGGACATTTGGAGGTTTTAGCATTAACAACATAATCTCAAAGTCAGTCTATATAATGCTGAAACCATGCATGCAATTGCTCTCGGTATAGTTGGTATTTAGTTACGTAGTTGAAAGTGTCTCCCCGCTAAAAGAATGTGCATGAATTCGAGTTTTCTTGTTACAGTCACTTTTTTTTTCTCCACCCCACGTTTTGTATGTTGGTGGACACCATTCTGACAAAACCTGGGTAACTGTCTTAAGTCTCTATAATAAAAGCACAATCTGGAGAAGTGATTAATGTGAAAATGCTAGAAGCCTGTCTGGGAAGTAGAAAGTAGGAGATATTTATTAATCAGTTTACTCATCCCTTGTGAAATAGATGTTTTTTCATCAAGTTCTGTGGTTTTCTCCTAACGCAGGCAGTGCAGGGAGTGAGGTTAGGTGGTTATGCTGACAGCAGATGTGTCAGGATTCCACTGTTTGTCTATGCTTGGGCTTTGGCAGGTAAGTAGAGAAGAACTGCTTTTTTGTTAGTTTAATTAATTTTAGTAATGAACCTTTTTGATTTCTGCGTGCATCCATTTGGTAGTCAATTGTTAAGAGGTTTGACCTGATGTTTCTCTAGCAGTCAAATACACGAGACGTTGCCTGGTGAGGTTTGCTGCTCTCAGTTTGTGCCTCATCTCTCCTATGCTTGTATCCAAGATTTTCAGAGTTGTTTTCTGAAAGTGTATCGTTTGCAGTGGGGAATCTCAATACAAAATGTTAAACTAGGCTGTCAGTCACACTCTGCTGCATGGATTTTGGAACTGTTTGTAACTTTTCAGTCAGTTCACAATGCTTTCATCTTGCAACTTTTTTACTTTGTTGCTCACTGGGATAGTTTGTTGCTTCTTACACTGGATTGAAAAGGAGGAAAATTACTTTTTAAATATTAAAGAAATACTGAGGCTGATATTAAAGTTCTTTCACGTGAAAATAGTTTTCAAGGGTGAATATTTTAAAAATATTCTGCATATTCTTAAAAACTTGAAGAATATTTTAAAATTATTTTAATAAGTTTTCTGCAGTTACAAACTTCTAGAAAGACTGAAAAATACCTTTACTGTTTTCTGGAAGGTCCAGAGACCTCTGGATTGCTGTTTATATTTGGCAGTAGGTCATGGCATAGAACAATTATTAGGGCACTTGGGCATATGTTGGATCAACAAATATGCCAAGATTCATTGCGGTGTTTTAGTCTCAAGATTCTTTTGTAGTCAAAGGATAGAAGTAGTTCAGGTGAAAGCTATAATTTTGGTATGGTTCTGTGAACTTGAAGGACTTTGGTAAAAGGTAGAGACTTGAAATGTTTGCATCTTACTCTAGTGCTGTCCATGCACAGGTAAAATCACTTACGGTATAACTTTTTACTTTGTCTCTTTTCCTTCCCTCTCCTCAACTTTCCTCTTTGTAATCTTCTACTTCACTATCAAAAACAGCTCAGAAGGAATGACCTCAGTTCTTCTCTGGCTTGTAAGTAGGACCACCTGGCAGCAGTCAGGCTTCAGTTTGTTATCGGCGACAGGCAAGACACTGTGAACTCAACTTGGCTTATCACTGCTGAGAGTGTACCTGAGAAAGCTCCTGTCTGATCAGATGAAAAACTGATGACAAATGGAAACTCACGTGTAGTTCTTAATTTTTTTTGAAAGTATGCAGTGCATTGCATTTTCTTAACCTTTTCCTGACAGCGCAGTTAGCAGTTTTTCTACAGACTGGCGTGGATAATTTGAAGGAAATAGTTAAAAAGCCAACTTAGACCTGCTGGCACAGTGTCATGTAGAATCAAGTGCCCCTTCTGATGTACTGGAGCATTGTTTTGACTGAGATGAAAAGTAATTCACACTTTGTTCCCTTTATCATTTCCTGCAACTGCTCCTTTTTCCTACATTATGCCTCTTTCTTGCGTTCGTTTTCATGATGGTACAAACCTGTAATTTGTTACTACTTTACAATGTTACTGTGTGTGTCTCAGCTTTCTGCTGCTTCAGTGCTCTTTTACCTAAGCAGGACAAGTAACACTTTGATGGAAGAGGGAAAACGGCACATCAGGTCTATGATGAATCAGTTGAGTCATGTAAAAGTAGTCTATAATTTCAAATAACTGACTTCCTGAAATGTTCTTTTTAAAAGCAGTAAAATCTGCCTCTGTATTTTAGGATGTGAATTGTGTGCATATCATTGTCTGACTATACTATGTGAGACATAACTTTTAAGATACCTTTTTTTCTTGGAGGTAGATAATGCTTTAGTTTCATTTCACTCTGGAATTCAAATGTGAGGTATAGATTTATTAACAATCACAAAATGTGTGTGTTGAGCTAAATCCTGAACTAATTTAATCCTTGTTTGTAGTTACTGCTGTGTTGAAGTAAAAATAGTATTACTATTAGGGGATGAAATTTTGTTCTATCTTAAAAAATGCAAACCTGTTTGAATCTGTTGGTTGCAGCTGCTTTTTATTAGTATGATCTAAATGCAGGTGGCAGGTGATCTAAATTATCTAAATGCAGCTGTGATCTTCTGAGCTCCACTGCTATTAGGTTTACCTGTCAACTGGAGAAGTGTGTAATAATGAGCTGTTGCTCGTGGAAACAGCCTTAAGGTTGTTAAACACAATGTGTAGATAGTCTTAAGATCTATTGTTTGAAAACATGGTGTAATTTGACCCTGGTTTGAGAAGTAACTTCAAACCTTGGTGGTTAGATACTGGAGAATCAATCTAATTTCATATGCGTATTTTCACAGGTCAGAGCACAAAACTTGTCAGCAACACTAATGGAGAATCTGGGAGTTGAAAAATATTTTGATTTGGTGAATATTTTTGTCACTTTCTGGGGTGATTGGAAACCCCAGACTAAGACATAAAAAGTCAAGGAATATCGGTGGGATTAGTTAGGGTGTAAACATCAAAATTGAAAAATTCCCGGTGTTTCTGACGAGCCAGAGCTCTGGACACAGATTACCATGCAGGATATGTAAGGAAATTAGTTCTCTTGTAATGCAATTCCAGCATGACTCCTTTGATTGCTGATCCTTGATTTTCCTTTCACATTATAAAATGGATATGGTGAAGTCTAAAACCGAGTTTGTCAGTGCTGTATTTTCCTGTTAATACAGAAGCAGGTTGTGTCATTACTGGTTTAGAGAAAATACTTCCTTTAGTGTAGCAGTTTCTGGTATTTGGGAACTTATGATGTATATGAGAAAGAGAAGTAAATAAATGCACTATAATTAGCAAAGTTAAATGTTAATGAATTTGTTTGTTTGTTTGCACTCTTATTTGTGTGTTGTCTGCAAGAAAAAAAACCCTGAGATTCTTATGTGAACTAGCTTAACTGAAGAAGAGTGGAAGAACATACCTGAACTTGTACATATTATAGTTTGTTTTGCCAGGTATTTGTTTTAGGAACAGTATTCTAATTTATAAGTCAAATCTTGGTTGGCTTAATTAGTGGATATGAATGCTACTTTTAATTTGAAGAGCAATGAAGCTATTAATGTATTTGCAGTTAAGATAAATGTAACTTTTGACAGATATATTGAACAGAGTCAAGCTCAGCTCATCACGAAGGGGGGTACAGGATGGTGCACCCAGTAGAGGTACTTTATTGTCCTAATATGGCAATTAAAAGCAAAAAAGTCCACAACACTTAGGAAACATTTGACTGCAAAATTGCATAAAGATAACTTTGGAATCCTTTGCAACAGGTCCAATTACTACGTTCAAGACCGAGAGTCACCATTACGCGCCCGCTGCCTCCAGCCCCGGTGCCGTGCCCGTTCCATCCGTGTTCCAGGCTGCACCCAGGCCTTTGAGCAGCTCGGGAGCAGTGCAGCCACTGTCTGTACAAGTGAATGTTTCAGGAACTTCACAAACGCTGCAGAGACCAGTCGCTGGGTGTTTATCAACACAGCAGCTGCCTGGGTCAAGTTCTGGAATAACACAGCCTGTAACCATTCCAGTGACAACACAGCCAGCATCAAGGAATATCACAGTTCCTGCAGTGGCTCAACCTGTGTCCAGGCCAGAGACTGGAACAGCACAGTCTGTGATGCTCAATCAGGTAAATCTTCATTCACTTAACGGGTACCATTACTTTTGAATAAATTAATGAAGAACATACTGACTCAGTCTAGTGATTTGGAGACCTGGACTAGGTTATAGACTGGCATTATGTAAAGCCATAAAGATTCTAGGACCATAACCTTGCACTAGTAAATTAAAATATGTATTTGAAAATACCAATTTGCCAGACTCAAAGATAATAGCTTAAGTCACAGTAAAATGACATTAAATGAAAATGACATTAGAGAAATTAGTACTGTTTAGGTTCTTTATGTTGTTTGGAAAAGTGATGGAAATTCATTCTATAAATTCTGCAGATTTCTTCACTCAGAGATGGATCCTCTGTATTGATAAATGAATTTAATTTTTAAATAGCTTGCATTTGGTGTGTAAAGTAACTTAGTGGGTTTTCTACCTGGTTTTACAGTGCCTTGCTTGGCCTTTTTGCTTCTTAAGAGAATGCTGCAGTGGTGGCTCCTTGGGGGCTTTTGCATTTTGATTCGTGTGACAGTTGTAAACACTAGTATGGTGAGGAGGGTTTAAGCAACCAAAAGCTGCAGGACCAGCAGGTGAAACAATTTGGCAACATATTTGTATTGCTTGAAAAGCCCCAGGGGATTACTTTCCTAGATCATGTGTCATTGATCTTCCTGGATTGCCACAGAACCTTAGAAAGTTGACCTGAGGTAGTCGAGTTAGATGCTGTTTTCATTGCCTTATCTGTTGGACATACGTGAGAGAGAAAGAATGAGGATTAAAATTCCCTATCTGTATGAGGTGAACTATGATGTGATACCTTTATTGGAAAGAATTGACACTGAAACTGTTCAGACAATGTGCCTGTAATATTAGCTTCTACTGTCAGGTTAAGATGAAGCCTGACAGTGGCACCTCCACTGGCCATGCAAATACACATACCTGTGGTTGTCTCAGCTGCCTGTCTTTTGGTGTAAATAAAAATCATGCAGCCTAATAGATTCTGCATTTGCTGAACAGGGCAGTCAGTCTGAATGAACATGGTTAATTAGACCATTAAAAGATGAGAATTGGCTGTTCTTCTTAAGACCTGTGGCTAAATCATCACTGATGGGTGGCTGTATTTTAAGAAGAACAAAATAAAAGCAATGCAATGTAATCATTGCCTGTCAACTGGTTAACTGGATCTCTGGCAACTTCATTAGGAAAGAACTCATGCTTTGCAGTTTAGAGTCTTCAGCAGTTTATTGATAGCTTGCAGAGAGAAATGGTGGATGTGGGGAAGCAGCTTAGCTAAATCAGTCTGTCACTGTATATAAGAAGGCCTAAAAAATGGCATAATCCAAAGTCCAGATATCAGTAAGATATCCAAGTTGCTTTTTCAGTCTTCTAAATCTATCTGTATAAATCAGGACAGATTCATACAGAAAGGTCTGCTACTTCACATGATGTACATGTCTTTCATACATACATGATATATGTGTCTTTCAAGTCTGTGAACTTTATAAAAGTTTACTTATGGCATAGTGAGCTTTATTAAATCCTTCAAAGGATGTCTTGCAGAATCTTTACTGCCAAGGAAAGACCCCTCCTCTATTTCCTTCACACATACATGCTCATGTTTTTGTTGTAACAGATAAAGCTGCTCGGGGCCTCTACATTGATTTTATGAGAAAATCTTACAGCAAACACACCTAGGAAAGCTGAACTTCTCCATGCAGTGTGTGTAAGCTGGATGTAATTCATCAGGACAGGGATTTCCTTTAAAGAAACTCTGCACACAGCTCTTCTTTTCGTGACAGTTCTTTTTCCTTCGTTGAATTTACTTGTGTCACAGATGAGGCTTTAGTTAAGTTTTTGTAGTGTTACTTTGTCAAAACCTGCGGGTGGTTGTTCTTTTTGAAGAAGTTGCAGCCTGAAATATGGCATGGAAAAGGTTCTCTAACCATGTTCTGTCTATTCCAGCTTAGCCTGGCATGCTTCAGAAAGGAATGCATCCTTTTCTGGGATATCCAGTGCATACAGATTCTGTTTTAAAACAGAATCTTAAAACTTCCACTGTTGGAATTACCATGTTTTACAGTTTCTTTGCAGTGTTGACATTTTAATCTTGGTTTTCATGAGCTTGTTGGTTTTTTTTTTTAAGTTATCCTAAATGTAACATCCTGTTCTTTGGCTAAATTCTTTAGTACCTTTAGGATGAGTTTTCTGTTTGGTTTCTTTCCTTGCTTAAGACACGCTGGAATTGAATCTTCCATCTTTTCAGCTTAACTTTTCTAGATTCAGAACTGTATTTCCAGTTTCAGCTTTAGAATAATTTTTCTTGGTTTTTTGTTGTTCTTGCCACTTGATTATATTACCCTTTTTATGGAGAAAGAGGCTTGTTTGCTGTGCCTTTTTCTTAGGGAGGTACTATAGTTTAGCTTCTTGGGCAAAGTTCTATGATTTTTAATTACTCCTGTCACGTTATGTCATTTGCTGTTCTTGGAGTCATATATGTACAACCTGTATTTTGGTTCATGTCCTTGGTTTGAATTGTCTTCATTCAAGAGCTCCTTAGGTTTTTTTGGATTCCTCACCTCCTCCCTATCTAGTATTTAGTTCACTTGGGGCTGCTTTTTTATAATGATGATCTTCTGTCTTGGCTTTCTGTGATATTTTAGTTCATGCATGTTCTGTTTCTTCCCAGCTTGATCCTTCCTAAGTGACAAAGGCTTCAAATAAGTTTTTCTGGGAAGTGTTTGACATTTGAATCTTCAACTTCCAGATGTTGAAACTTACCCTTGAAATTAAAATATCATGTTATGAAGATGACTGTGAAGTGTGACTAGACACTGTGACAGGACTCCTTTTTAGCTGAACATCCTTCAGACTGCCTTCTCATTCTAATAAAGATCAAGTGCCAATATTGTGCCATTTATACCTTAATGTTAAAATTAAACCTAACTCTGTTATGTTTTTCTTAACTGCTTATTGCTATTCCTGAAAATATTTCATGTTTCAGTTTGTGCTAGGGTGAATGGCCTATTAAGATATAAGCAGTATTGATGAGTCTTGGAAAATGTTTCTCCTACCTCACTCTCTAACTTAGAATATTTGTAAAGAGAACTAAATATCACGTTTGTTTTCCCTCCAAATGTTACCCCCTGAGTGAAGCTGTTCAGCTTTAACAGTCTTCAGTGTTAGAGCCAAGAAATGTGGACTATTGAATTGTGTAGGTTATGTCTAGTACTAAAGGGGAAACCTTTTAAACTGAAGGCTAAAAGAGTACTTGTACTTGGAGATGTGCAAAACTTAATTTAGCAAGGTGCTGGGAAACATGAACCAACCTTTAGGTTAGCTGAGCTTTGAAAAGAGGGTTTGATTATTATTGTTTTCAGAAATCCTTACAAAATATACTTTACATAAAAGAAAACAAAAAACTTAGTGACATTGGGAATTAGTGCTCTTCCCAGTTAACATGCTGGAGATACCTCTTACTTTTGTTAAAACTTGACCACTTAGAATTTGAATTTAATATCATCTTGCTTTGAGAAACTTCTGCAAATTTGTGCTACTTCTGAGTTCAGGTTTTTGATCTTTTGAAATGCAGCTAGCTGTTATGCAAGAGGAACAGGCAAATACCTGAGTTTAGGTTGAAGGAAGAAAGTAATAGTTTTTTTGAAAACCAATTCAAGTATAATTTGAAACATCATCAGACTTTTTGAACACAAGCACTTACAATTAGCAATTCCAACAGATTAGTAATACTTCAGAAAAGGGACTTGGCCAGGTCATGGGATTTTTTTTTTTACTGTTCTGATACAC